TCAATCTAAGTTCCCCGGGCTAGCCTGGCGAATTCAACCCAGCATACGTCTCCGCCCCACGATCTGGCTTCCCGTCCTTTGCTCCCTGGGCTAATCAGACGGATCCCAATCTGGCTTACGTTTCAGCTTCTGGTTTCAACTTTTCGCCCCCCATTCCCGGGCTAACTTGAGAACCCCAAAGTGGCTTACGTTTCCGCCTCGGCCTGCCCCCCGCGGCTTCAATTTCCCTAACATTTTTCTCTACCCGGTATGTTTCCCCAAGCTTTCCTCCAACAATACTCCTCCCTCATTTCTCCTGGCCTCTCCCCACAGTCCGCATCCGAGTCTGTTTGTTCTAGCTTTCACTTTCGCTTTCGACCTTAGAGATTTCTCCCAGCTTCCCCCCGTAGTCCGTATCTGAGTCTATGCCTAGGCTTTCAATAGCTTCTTCCGGCACCCTTTTCGTCCGGCTTTTCCCTAGGCTGTTTGCTAGTCTCTCTCTCCGGTATTTTCCCTAGGCTGTTTGCTAGTTTCTCTCTCCGATATTTCCCCAGTTCTTCCCGTTTCTTCCCTCCTAAGTTTCCTATCCGAATCACGGCACCACTATGTCGCTCCCCCTCTTCGTGGAGGAACGACACAGGACCCTGCGCTGTTCTTTTCGTCTGCTCGGCCCTCCCCGGGTTTGCTGCTGGTTCTTCCCGGGTTGGCTACTGTCCCTTCCACCTCCGTGGAAGGGCAGTTCCCCCTGGCCACATTCCCCACTTCCGCAGGGGAGCGGCACACCGCCGGCCGGCTTTCTCGGGGGCTGCACGGGTGTTCCTTCAGCTAGATGTTCCCCATAGATGTTCCCCATAGATGTTCCCGGTACATGCTGTCTCTCTCCTCCTTTATAGTCCTCCTCCGCCAATCCCAACTCGGCTGCCCACACGCCGAGTACGCTGCTCTCCAATCAGGAGCAAGTCCTACAGTTTATTGGTTGAACTGGAGGCAGCTGTGCGGAAGCTGTTTACTTCTCTCCCATCGCCATATTGTGGGAGAGCAGATGCATAGAATAAGTCTTAATTCCAGTAACTCAGTCTAGTCCGGTTTGCTCCCCACAAATGTTATCTTCAGATCTTTTCCACTTTAATCGTTTGCTTTGTGAGTTTTAAGAGTCCTCTGTATGCTCTGACTTTTAGCTTTTGGATGTTTTCTCTCACTTTATGGCTCATCTTTCCATCCTCTTAACAGGTCTTTCACAGAGCAGAAATTGTTTTAATGAAATCCAGCTTATCCATTTTTCTTCCATGGATTGTGCTTACGTGTTATAGCTAAAAAAGGCATCACCAAAAACTCACAGCTCCCTAGAATTTCTCCTGTGCTATCTTCCAGGAATTTTATAGCTTTGTGTTAGGTTTAGGTTTATGATCCATTTCTACTTAGTGTTTGTGAAAAGTGTAAAGTCTACATCAAGATTCGTCTGTGTGTGTGTGTGTGTGTATCCAGGTTATTTCTGCACCCTTTAATGGACAGCCTGTCCTTTGTTCACTGAGTTGCCTCTGCTCCTTTGTCAAAGGTCAGTAAACTAGATTCATGGGTGTTATTTTGGACTCTCTATCTTGCTCCATTGATTGTCTGTCTTTCTGCCAGTGTCAGATGGGTCTTTATTACTGTCAAATCTATGAACTGTAATGCACATATGGCTTTATGTGGCTACCACCATAACCAGCCTACAGAATTCCAGCACCCCAAAACTCCCTCACTCTGTCTCTGTATACTTGTACCTTCCACTCAGACACAACCTCCAGCTACTGATAATGTTTCCGGACACAGTAAGGTTACCTTTTGGGGGGATGCCATGTGAGTGAAACTATATGGCATGTAACCATTTGAGGCTGGTTTCCAGCGACGAGTGCCCTGTTTTCCTTGCATCAGCACTTTGTAGTTTTCAGCACCCTTGACCTTTTTTTAGACAATTTTCATTGGCACTATTGTGAGTGTTATTTGGCTTTTTTTAACTTCTAATTTTATGTAGAAAAAAGTTTGTTTTTCTGTATTGTGTTTTACAACCTTGCTTACTTTACTGTTTTGTTTTGTTTTGTTTTTGACAGGCAGAGTGGACAGTGAGAAAGACAGAGAGAAAGGTTTCCTTTGCCATTGGTTCACCCTCCAATGGCCGCCGTGGCCGGCGTGCTGCGGCTGGCGCACCGCACTGATCCAAAGGCAGGATCCAGGTGCTTCTCCTGGTCTCCCATGGGGTGCAGGGCCCAAGCACTTGGGCCATCCTCCACTGCACTCCCTGGCCACAGCAGAGAGCTGGCCTGGAAGAGGGGCAACTGGAACAGAATCCGGAGCCCCAACCGGGACTAGAACCCAGTGTGCTGGCGCCGCAAGGCAGAGGATTAGCCTACTGAGCCATGGCGCCGGCTTTACTTTACTGTTTTTAGAAGTTCTGAATGTTTGTTTTGTTTTTTATTGCCCAATAATATCTATGCAGGCAGTCATGTTGCCAATAAACATATGGACAATTTTATCATTCATTACTAGTCTATTTTTTAAAAATAATTTCTGTTTCTTACCTATTGCATTGCTGAAGCTTGCAGTATCATGTTGACTAGGAGTATTGAGAATGGAATTTTTATTTATCCTAATCTTAAGAAAGCATTGACTCTTGCATTGTTACATATAATAATGGTTGTAGGTTATATTGGTAGATGTGTTTTATCATACTGAGGACGTTTTCCTCTCTGCCTTGCTTTTGAAGAGTTTATAAGAATCATTGATTTATTTCATCTTGTTTGAACTTATAGTTTATAGCTTTTAGGGAAATGCATGATTTCAGATAAAGTGTTGAGTACATAAAGCTCCGCAGAATTTTAGCTTACTAGCTCTTCTTAAAAATATTTATTTATTTATTAGCAAGTCAGAGTTACAGAGAGATCTTCCATCTGCTGGTTTACTCACCTGATGGCCACAACGGCCAGGGCTGGACCAGGGTTGAGCCAGGAGCTTCCTCTGGGTCTCCCACGTGGGTGCAGAGGTGCAAGCACTTGGGCCATCTTCCACTGCTTTCCCAGGCCATAGCAGAGAGCTGGGTGTGAAGAGGAGCAGCTGGGACCCAAACCATCACCTATATGGGATGCCGTGTTGCAGGCAGCTTTACCTGCTACACCACAGCACTGGCCCCACTTATTATCCTTCTGATGTGTGTGTGGCACCTCCATAATTTGTCTTCTCTCTTTTTTCTTTACCATCTCAATAAAGATATATCAGTTTTCAGACGCAGTTTTTGTGTTCACTGGTTTTTTGTTTTGTTTTCAATTTTATTCTGTTTCACTCTTTGAATTATTAGTTGCTCCCTCATGCCTGGCTTAGTTTATTTTGCTGTTTTTTTTTTATTTTTTTAAACTAAGAATTATTGTTGAATAGATAGCTTTCTTCTCTTCTAATAAATGCCTTTATTGCTATGAATTTTACTCTAATTATGTTTAAGTTGCATCTGTAAAACTCTGATACATCTGCATTTTAAATTTGTTAAAGTTATATCCTTTTCTAATTTATCTTGAGACTTCCTCTTTGACTTATGGATTTAGAAGTGTATTGTGGGGCCAGCGCTGTGGAATAGCAGGTAAAGCTGCCACCGGCAATGCCAGCATCCTATATGGGCACTGCTTTGAGTCCTGACTGCTCCTTTTCCTATCCAGCTTCCTGGTCTGGGAAAGCAGTAAAAGATGTCCGAAGTCCTTGGGCCCCTGAACCTGCATGGGAGACCTGGAAGAAGCTCCTGGCTCCTGGCTTCGGATGGGCTCAGCTCTAAGGGCCGTTGCTGCCAACTGGGGAGTGAACCAGTGGATGGCAGACCTCTCCCCTGTCCCCTCTCCCCTCTCCCCTCTCCCCTCTCCCCTCTCCCCTCTCCCCTCTCTCCTCTCTTCTCTCCCTGCCTCTACTTCTCTCTCTGTGTAGCTCTGCCTTTCAAATAAAATAAATGAATCTTATGTATTTCAATGTTTGTCACAGACAGCATCAGGAGGGCTCATTTGAAATAAAATCCTTTCTGAAAATTTCTCCTTCACTTGCTGTGTTTAGGCCAGCTGCATTCAACATACTCACTGATAGTTTTTGATTTAGCTGGATTTCATCATCTGGTTTTTGACATCGAACTCCTTTATTTCAGTTTCTCCTTTCTTGCTGTCAGGTGATGTGCATGGCTCTTCATTCCATTTTAATTTATCAGTTGTGATGTATACAGTATCTGTTTCTGTAGATTGTTATCGACTGCCCTCAGAATTGCAACACACACTTCACTTTTCATAGGCTCCTAGCAATTTTGCCTTATCAGGGAGAAATCTTGCCATCAGGTAGGTTCTTTCTCTTCTCTTTTATGTCATAGTTTTCTTACATATTCCACATATCCCAAGAACCCACATTAAAAATTCATCAGATGCATGTTATAATTTTTGGTTCAATCATTGAATCCATTTTGTTTTAAAATATTTATTTATTTTACTTGAAAGTCACAGTTACACAGAGGGAGAGAAGGAGAGGCACAGAGAGAGAGAGAGAGAGAGAGGTTTTCCATCCTTCCATCCCCTGGTTCACTCCCCGAGGGCTGCAATGGCCAGAACTGCCCCAATCTGAAGCCAGGAGCCAGGAGCTTCTTCCAGGTCATCCACGTGGGTGCAGGAGCCCAAGGACTTGGGTCATCTTCTACTGCTTTTGCAGGTCATAGTATAGAGGTGGTTGGAAGTGGAGTTACCGGGTCTCAAACCGGTGCCCATATGGGATGCTGACACTGCAGGAGGCAGCTTTACCTGCTATGCCACAGCACCAGCCCCCATTGAATCCATTTTTAAAACCTATTGGGGCCGGCACTGTGGTGCAGTGGGTTAAGTCTGAGGTGTCACTAGTCATGGTTAGGGGCCTGGAACTCTTCCTCTCCTGCAGTGGAAGGCTGTGTCTTTAACTGTCAGTGTGATGACACCTGCCTTCCCAGAATGCACCTGTCACATCCGGGTCATGGATGCATGCTTGCACCCTAACAGGATCGTGGAGCCCCTCGGAGGGCGCACCAGCCGGAAGGAGCTCCACCTCCAGCGCGGATGAAGGCTGCTGTTTTCTCTCTTCTCCACGGAGCGCTGCACGTGCGGAGCCACGGACTGCTTGTGCGTGCTTTTCCCTGCGCAGAGCCATCCACCTTGGCGCTTTCCCGCTCTCTTTATCTCCGTCGCGTGCACGGACCACCTCAACCGGAGGTATCATTTTCATTTCCTTCTCTTGTCCACAGGCAGTTCTTTGGCCCGATCTTGTTGAGCATTTCTCTGTGTGGGGCAGCCCAGGCTTGGGCCTGAATGTGTGTTTGTTTCCTGGGTGCTACATAACCTTTTTGTGCTTGGGACCAGTCTGCGTTTTGTATTTCTGTCTCGAATGGATCCTGCAACAAAATTAATCTACTCTGGGTTCTGGTTGGAGCCTTGGCTGCTCCACTTCCTATCCAGCTCCCTGCTAGTGCCCCTGGGAAAGCAGCGGAGGCTGGCCCCGGTACCTGGGCCGCTGCACCCACATGGGACCCCAGGATGGAGTTCGAGGCTCCTGGCTTCGCCCTTGGCCCTGACCTGGTCATTCTGGCCATCTGGGGAGTGAATCAGCAGGAGGAAGACCTTTCTCTGTCTCTCCCTCTCTAACCACGACTTTCAAATAAGTAAATAAATAAATCTTCAAAATCATTAATGTGTTCATGGCCCACATCTGTAGCACTCTGGGAAGTAAGCTCATGAAGAGTGAGGAGACTTTTCCTGTCCCGCTCCTCTCCAGAGCCCGTAATGGGGGTTGGGATTCTCTGCCCCTGCTGCTTTGTCTATAATTTTGTTCGGTGTGTTCTACCCTGTGAGCTCCTTTCTCCGACCAGGCTAGGAAGAGTTTTTCTGTTTTTTGAGTTTGTGCTGTGTTTTTACTTGTTATGAGTATGAACTGATGGCATACAAGCTCCTTAATGTGCTGGACTAGATACCAGCGAGGTTATTTTATTTTCATGCCTGGTAATATCTTGTTGAAAGTTGGACATTGTAGTAAAAAATCATGAAGGCTCAGAATGATAATCTCATTGCCCAGAGATAATTCACTCTATCATAGACCAGGCGAATAGCATGAGGGTCATAACTCAATCTTTCGGGGTGGCCCTGGCTCGAGTCTGCATTTCCTTCCTTAGAAGAGTCTGGCTTCGTCTCCACCCCTAGGCTGTGGACCTCCAGGGATCCCAAGTGAAAATCAGCGACGTTTACCAACGCCTCCTGATGGCTGAATCTCAGAACCGTAAGTTGGCCTCTTACTAAAATGACCAAAACCTGCACTCCTCTTTTCCATTCTTTCTTCCCCTCTACCTCTTAGTCTTTTTAACCTAATGTTGTAGTAGGAAAACTGGCATCTGGTCTGCTTGTGTTTTACTGTGACCTGCTGTTCTCTGGGATTTTGGTCCCTCAAGGTCCAGATGCTGGAAACTGGCAGTTAGCCTAGTGGCTCAGATGCCCACATCCCACGTCACGGTATCTAGTTTTGATTGCTGGCTCTGGCTCCTGGCTTCAGGTTCCTTTCAAGACAGACCCAGAGAGGCAGTGATAATGGCTCAAATAATTGCTTTTTTGTCAGCTCTCAAGGGAGACTTGGATGGGGATACTGGTTCCCAGCTTCATCCTTGGCTGCTGTGGACCTTTGGCGAGTAAACCAATGGATGGGAGTTCTCCCAGCTCCCTGAAATAAGTAAACATCACCATTGAAAAGATCTGGATGTTTTCATTGGCCCAAACTCCACCTTTTGTTCCCCTGGTTCTGATATGTGGAAAGCTCTGCCTGGGTAATGCTCTTCCCTTGGCTTCTGGTCCATTCTCTGGCTGGCTTCTCAGCCCCTTGCTGCAGACTGAAGTGGCTACTGCCAGTGGGAAGCACCTCACACCATTCTCCACAGGACTGTGGCCCTCAACTCCTGGATCTTTCAGTAGCTCCCAAATAACCTGCAACCAGATGCTTTTGTTTTATGCGGCGTTATCAGTTGTTGTTCTTGGAAGTTTTGGTCTTAGTAGAAAGGGAAGACCTGGGGCAACTTACTTATGAGAAGTAAAGTTGCAGACAGGTGCTCCTAGCAACTGTGAGATAAACAGAAGTGGTATAAAGAGCCCAGAGGGCAGTGTTGGCCATCCAAGTAATGAGATGACCCCTGGCTATAATTGAGGTTGTGTTTCTCTGTCCATCAGAATTGTTGGCATTCTCTTGTGTGTGGAGATGACACTACTGCCTCCTTTACCCAGAGTCATCCCTGGGAGAGAAAAGGGGGCAGCTTGCTAACAGATCATGGTCAGGTGGCCTCTTGGGCATGGGCTAGTAAGGAATTCTTAGGAAAGGGCCAAGGCAGGGCTTAACCTGTGGCCCAGGGTAGCTCCAGTGTCAGTGCTGGAACCTGCTCCTAACAACTCACAAGAGCCTATGGTGTGTATATGTGTGGTCACTTTAGAACGTTGTGTGGTCACTTTAGTACATTGTATGGGCCACGTACACCATGGAGATCCACAGGCACTATAAACCAGGGCTTTGTTTTACACAGATGCTGGTTGTAAAACTTGAATCAGGGAACGGCCACCCAGGAGGGATGTGTGGCAGTAGGGGTGGGGCCAGATTCAAGCCCTTTGGGTCAGTAGATACTGGGTGCTGACCTAATAATTGTTGGCTCTGTGTTCATTTGTGTGCGTGCGTGTGTGTGTGTGTGTGTGTGTTATCATTTAGTTGTTACTACACCATGAAATCAGATAGTAGAGACTAGGAGATTTTCTGTTCCCTGCTTCAGTCCACATTGCAACCCGGGTCGCTGTGATCCCCTTCATCTTCATCCTTAACCACAGCACCTGTAGCAGTACAGGGCGGGAGGACTGAGTCCAGGCTAGTTTCCGGTCGCTGAGGGCAGACAGTGCAGTGTGGCAGAGTCCAAGGACCCGTGTGGCCCTGAGCACACTCTCGGTTCATATAAGAAATGCAAACAGGATTCTGAGCCCAAGTAGCATGGAGAGAACAGAGGGATTTGAGAAAAATTGTCCTTGGTTGCTCATTGTTCTTGCACCTTGTTGTCATGCCCCTGTCCTGAACAAACCCCACCATCTGCTTTCTCTGTTTCTATACCCAGACGGCACAGCACAGGTGATGAAAACTCGCACAACAGAGCAGATTGCCGCATTCTAAATTCCTGATCACCAATCTCCAAGACAGCAGGGGTCCTACCAGAACTTGTGGGCTGACTTTTCCTTTACTGTCGCTAGAAAGTTTTCACACTTTTAATGTGCGGAAGCATGCCTCTTCTCCCTCACTCAGTAATTCTAAAGTCGAACTTTGCTGTTTGTTTTGCAGTATCTATAAATTCACGTAATGGGGTGAGACACAGTACAGAGAGGGTCCCTGGACCCTGTATCCAGTCTCCTGCAGAACCAGCCTCTTGCAGAGTTACAGTACAGTTCCAAAGCCAGGACACCACAATGGGCACAGCCAAGGGAGAGAATGTTTTGGACCTCACAAGACTTCATGTCACCCTCGTAGAGCCACACCCATTCCCTCTGACAGGCTCCAGTCTGTCCCACAGCTCCATGACTGAGTCACATCCTGAATGTCATTTGTGTGCAGTCACACAGAGTAGGTGCCCCGGGGACTGGGTTTTATCAGTCAGCATGGTTCTCTGGAGATTCCTATAGGTCACTGTGTGTACCCATAGTTCCTATAGGTCACTGTACATACCCATAGTTCCTATAGGTTACTGTGTGTACCCATAGTTCCTATGGGTCAGTGTGCATACCCATAGTTCCTATAGGCCAGTGTGCATACCCATAGTTCCTGTAGGTCACTGTGCGTACCCATAGTTCCATTCTTTGTATTAACCTCCGTGGGATGGATGGTCTGGCATTACCCACTAAGGTCCATCAGGGTTGATTCCAGTTCTTGCCTATTAAAAATTAAGCTGCTGTAGACATGAAGTATTTTACATGCATGTAGGAATTATTTTTTCAAGGATAAAAACCTCTGGCATTTTAATTTAATTAATATTAATTTAGTGTTGAGAGACTAGCAAGCTGCTTGCCTGTGTAGCTGTACCATTTCATAGTCTCATTAGCAAGGTAGGGTTGATCCAGTTTCTCCACATCCTTGCTAGCATTGCATATTTTAAGTGATTTTTATTTGAGGCAATTTGATAGGTGTATACTGATGTCCCAGGGTGGTTTGTACTTGCATTTCCCTCATGGGTAATGACATTGAACATCTTTTCATGGGCTTATTAGCCAACTGCATACTTCTTAGGTGGAATGTGTATTTTCTAACTGGATTGCTATTTTACTGCTCAGTTGTGAGAGTCCTTTACATTTTCTAGATACTAGTCCTTTGTCATCTGTGGTGTTTGTAAATACATGTCTTAAAGTATTTACCTCATTCTTTTTTTTAATTTTTTTAAATTTATTTGATGGGTAGAGTTTTAGACAGTGAGTGAGACAGACAGAGAGAAGATCCTCCTTCTGTTGGTTCACTCCCCAAATGGCCACTATGGCCGGCGCTGCGCCGATCCGAAGCCAGGAGCCAGGTGCTTCCTCCCGGTCTCCCATGCGGGTGCAAGGCCCAAACACTTAGGCCATCCTCCACTGCCCTCCCGGGCCACAGCAGAGAGCTGGACTGGAAGAGGAGCACCTGGGACAGAACCTGGCGCCCATATATAGGATGCCTGCAAAATGGTGCTGGCCCCTACCTCATTCTTTACTGCTTTATAGTTTTCTTGACATTTTGTCATTTTATATTTAAGTTTGTGATTCATTTTGAGCTCCGTTTTAAACAAGCTGTGAGACTTAGGTTGAGTTTAATTGTTTTCCTCTGGGTAGCCTGTTGCTGCAGGACTATTTGTTAAAAATTTTACCTTTATAGCTTCTTGGCCTTTTCGCTGAGATCAAGTGTAAAAAGTCTACCTTTCTGCTGTCGACTTGCTCTTCACTTTTGTCAAAATAAGTTGAACATCTTTGCTTTATTTCTTAGTTCCCTATTCTCTTCTCATCGTCTATCCATGTACCCATCTACATACACCACACAGTTTTCTTACTTTAGCTATTTCTTGAAACCAGATTTATTTATTTAAGTATTTATTTTGAAAGATTTATTTGAGAGGCAGAGTTGCAGACAGAGAGGTCCTCCATCTGCTGGTTCACTCCCCAAATGGCCTCAATGGGTGGAGCTGGGCTGATCAGAAGGCAGAAGCCAGGAGCTTCCTCTGGGTCTCCCATGTGGGTGTAGGGACCCAAACACCTGGGATATCTTCTACTGCTTTCCTAGGTCATCAGCAGGGAGCTGGGTCAGAAGTGGAGCAGCTGAGACTCGAACTGGTGCCCATACAGGATGCAGGCATTGCTTCCTGAGCCAGGCTGCATTAGGAGGCTGGACTGGAGGTGCAGGTGGCAGAACGCAAGCCTGCCCTCTAATATGGAATGGCTACATCCCTAGCAGTGCCTTAACCCACTGTGCGACAAACATGCCCTGGATTATGAAATCCTCTGTGTGGTTGACCTCTCTGCTCTGGTAGGAAAAGGTGTAGATGCTGCCTGGTTACTGCTACATAAGGAGTAGAGATCCACATTCCCCGCTCAGCCTCCATTGAGATCCAAAACTGGTGAATTCTTTGTTACTTTTGCTTGGACATGGAAGTTCCAGTTCCTCCCTGGGTTTTAACGGACACCACGATGTGGGGCGGGGGTGGGGGTTGCTCATTACCACTGATGGGTAGTCATAAAAGTCTGGTTTCCCACCACGATGCCTCTGACGCTGCCCTGGCAGTTATGGATGGAGAGGGCTGATTTTCACCCTTCCCTTCTCTGTGAGCGCCCTCGTTGGAGACAAGCCTCACTCGAGTGCCACAAAGGTGGACCGTCTAAGCTTGCCTCTTGGTTTTTGTTGGTGCAGGTGAGGGTGGGCCATGGTCCTTTCTCTGTCATTTTTTGTTGTAGTGAAACAGTTATTACCCAGTTTTCTGTCTTGCAAAACTGCATGTTTCCTAGTACTTTGGAGACAGAGAATAGGACTGTGCTGGAGGGGCTGCTCTGTGCCCCTTGGTGTTGCCCAGTTGTGTGCTTCTTCAGCTCCGAGTCCAGGATATAAGAGAGAAATGGAAAACCTGGGGGGTTCATCTGACATGTGTTCCTCACAGCCCAAGGTCCAGCCAGTCTGCTTCCATCTCTCCACCTTCCAGAGTCTTCTATTTTCCCTATGTGATATCCAGGGCTCCAAGTTGTCATTGGGGGGCGGGAAGG